CCCCAAAACCCCAAAACCCCAAAACCCCGCTAATCTTGCATAATCTCGTATTTAGCAATATATTGTTGAAAATAAGTTAATAGGTCTTTTAGACAGAGAGTAGAAATTTGATGAGTAAATAAATAAGAATATCGGCGACTTATAATTCTAGCTTGAAAAATTGACTCAAGCCTTAAAGTTACTGTAATGTTTGATTCCAACTTTCTCTAATTCAGTCTCGCTGAGCCCCTCAAACCAGGACATCTTCATGTTTAGCTTATTAAGTTTTAACACTTCGTTGATTCTCTGCTTTAGTAGTGTTACCATCTAGGAGCAGTAATACCAACTCTATACAACATGGAAAATGTAGAGAGTCCTGATGATCCAGTTTGATGAGTCGCAAGTAAAAATTGGATATAGAATGGAGGGAATCCAAAAGACTCTTGCTAATAAGTAGATTATCAAATATTGGAATTCATTGTGGAAATATGTCTTAGTGTATCTCATTCCTATCTTTCTGAAAATTTCTCTCGTGTTCATCTAGATATTTGATATTTCTGCGGGCAACAAATTTAAGCAGATGTAGAGGGCGTCTCTTTAGAGGTAAAGAGAATATGAATAAGATGTGAGGCCCAACATATGATGGATTAGGTTTCCAATGTCAAGGAAGCCGTTGATAAGCATGAAAAGTAGATCTGATGCAAGGAATGTGAAGGTATTTGCAAGCATTACTGTCTCAAAGTAAGTGTTTGATTTTCCACAAGTTGTATCAATGTATTTGGCATAGTAGATAAGTCCAAAAATATTAGCAGCAATTCCATGGAAACATGAGACGATTCTATGTCTAACCATCAACTGATCAAAAGGCTTTACTAGGTTCCAACTCTTGGGTAGCTTAATATAATACTTGGAGGTTGTGAAAAGAGTAAACCATATTACCATTAGAATGGAAACCCATTGGAAAGTAAACTGATATAGTTCTTAGTCAGAGGGCTGGAGAGCAATGTTAGAAGATTTTAGTGGAAAGGTGGTCTCTGGTTGAAAAGTCATATCCAATTATGTTGCAATTGAGAAATATATAATTAGTAAGCTAATATTATATTTTTTGCTTATGTAAATTTAAATCACAGTTATTATTGGTAATCTAAATAATTTAACTAAAGCAAACTATGTCTTTCATTCATGACCATTAAATAAACTTAATATTAGTTTCAATTCATCAAATAAAAGTTTTTATATTTCTCAGTATGTTACCCAATAGGGGTTTTGGGGTTTTGGGGTTTTGGGG